CAGATGTTCGACCCCAAGAACATGATGGTGGCCTGCGACCCTCGCCATGGCCGCTACCTGACGGTGGCCGCCATCTACCGAGGCCGCATGTCCATGAAGGAGGTGGACGACCAGATACTCAACGTGCAGAACAAGAACAGCAGCTACTTCGCGGACTGGATTCCTCACAACGTGAAAATCGCCGTGTGCGACATCCCGCCGCGGGGCCTCAAGATGTCACCCACCTTCATAGGGAACAACACGGCCATCCAGGAGCCGTTCAAGTGCATCTCGGAGCAGTTCTCGGCCATGTTCCGGCGCAAGGCCTTCCTGCACTGGTACACGGGCGAGGGCATGGACGAGATGGAGTTCACGGAGACCGAGAGCAACATGAACGACCTGGTGTCCGAGTACCAGCAGTACCGAGATGCCACCGCAAAGGAGGAGGGAGAGCTGGAGGACGAGGAGGAGGAGGAGGAGGAGGAGGTAGAGGAGGACTGAGAACTTCTGGAATAAAGCTGCCTTGGTGAGCCAGTGGTGTTGTGCTCACGTGTGTCTGTTTTAAAGTGTTTTTAGAAGCGTGTCTACACAAATAAAAAAGCCATGTGCATTTTACCTTGTGGTCCTCGTTCACCCTTTGAATAATTTTTATATCACTAAATGTTTTTCAAATGTTACAGTTTAATCTTAACATATCATATGATATCCCAGTTAGTAAAAGTCCCATGAATGAGACTGAAGTTGAGATAAGCTGGGCCTTATTTTTTGATACCTGCTAATGAATTAAGGAGAATAATGGTGTGGGTTTTACATAAGGATTTTGAGGAGCTACATAGAAGGAGATCATCTACATATTGGATGAGCTTACTTGGGAAAAGATTAAGGGAATTGAGATCCTCCTGTAAGGCTTGGCTAAAAATGTGAGGGGAGTTTCTGAATCCATCAGGGAGGACCGTCCAGGTTAATTGTTGGGTGTGATGGGTAATGGGATCTGTCCACCTGAAGGCAAATAAGGGTTGGGAGGAGGGATGTAAGGGGATGGTAAAGAAGGCATCCTTGAGATCTAGGACTGAAAAGAAAGAGGTCTGGGGAGAAATCTGGGAGAGAGAGTATGTGGGTTAGAAACCACAGGACAAATACGGTTAATGTCAGCATTGATTTTTTTTTTTCCTGAGGTCTTGGACTAACCTAAAGGAACCATTGGATTTTTTTAACTGGAAGGATGAGTGTTGTAAGGGGAGTTAACAGGGATTAAGAGATTCGAGGTTTTTAGTTGATCTATAATTTTAATCCCATATGTCCCTCCCTGCACAAGGGCTATTGTGGAACAACGATGGGGGTGGAGAGGTCTTTAAGAGTAATATTAATGGGACTATGATGTGACGCTATGGAGGGGTGGGATGTGTCCCAAACTTAGATGATTTCTGTAACAGGTGGGGAGAGGTTTTGGGCTGTGGAAGTTCCTGTATAGGGAGAAAAAATTGTATGGGCTGGCCAGAATTAATGGATGAGATAAAAATGGTGGCTTTGAGTATATGCAGTATATATCATCCTAATATTGGAAAGGGACAAGCTGGAATAGCCAGGAAGGGATGTGTAAAGGACTTAGACCCAAAAATACAGTAGAGAGGGGGAGTCATGTTGGGTGTGTTTGCTATGCCGTCTACTCCAACAATAGGGAAAGAGGACTTTTTAAGGGGACTCAAATATTCGGTTAAAACTGAGGTGGATGCCCGAGTATCAAGGAAGAAATGTTTTCCTGCTACCGTCCCAGTTACCCATGGATCAGTGGGCTCAACAGTGGGAGGGGCTTTATGATCTGGGTCTTGTCAGTCTCCTGGCACAAACATTGGTATTAGATCCTCGCTTGGGGGGCTGTTAGGAATTTGAGGCTGTATGCGAGGAAATTCCAGGTACACAGGAGGCACTGGCAGGAGGAAGCAGTGGAAGGTCAGCCCCAGGGGAAAACATGAGAGCCTATGTGGAAAAAAGGGCTGGAGGTGTGGCTCAAGTGGTACTGTGCTTGCCTAAGAAGCATGAGGTCCTGAGTTCAAACCCCAGTACTGCCAAAAATTAAGTTTCACGTAAACCTTTTTTGGCAAAGTATTCCTTCTCTTTTTCTGATAAAAAAAAAAAGAGAAAAAGAAACGTACATGGAAGCTACAAAGCAAAACAAAATGATTCCCACGGTTCGACTTAAACTGGGAACATTTCTGCCAGACCCAGCTAAGCCGTGGAAACCAGCTTCTTCCCTTCTTTCCTTTCTCCACGGCGTCGGACTTGAACCAGCAGGAGGAAAGCAGTGCAGGCAGCTGGGCTTCTCAGCATCCCTGGCACCTGGAAAGCTTCTAGGGCCGGCTTGTACTCAAACTGCTGGCGTTTAACAGAAAACACCCTCAGCGGCAGCCTGCGGGAGCCGTAACCCTGGCAGCTGGCGGCGCCCCGCCCCACGGGCTCCCGGGGCGTGGCCGCGCATGCGCAGCTGTGGGAGCGTAGGCCAGTGTCGTCATCTGCCCGCGCGCTCCGACTCCGTAGACCTTGACGCTGAGTAGTCCGGCTTCTGCGGCGACCACCTTGCAGCATGAGCGTCTGCGGACTCTTCCTGCGCGGGGCGGCTGTGGCGACGCGAGCCTGCCGGGCGCGCGCGGCCCTCGCGGCGAGCCGACGCCGACTTCGCACAAGTCCGCAGAACCGCGCTTTCGCCAAGGGACTCTTTTTGGGCAAAATCGAGCAGGTAAGGCGAGCGCAGGCGGCGCTTGCTGTCTGGCTCCCTTTCGGCCTTACCACGCAAGCGTGGGGTCGAGCTTTGTCAAGAATCCCCAAACAAGCCCGGGAAAGCTCCGGATTCCCGATCCCACTGGAGCCCGCTCCGGAAAAGCGAGGACCTTTTCAGAGCAAGGGAGATGTGGCTTGACAGTGTCGCCGCTGTTTCCT